GCAAACTCAATATCTGACATGAATAATTCAGACTAAAAGTTTTTATCAATAATTTTTAAAGCTGTTTTTATCCCCCAAAGATTACTAAAGTTACATGAACTAAAAGGCATTACAGTTTTTGTTTTCTTTTAAAATATTTAAGTGCTTATTTTTGTTTAAGCCAATTAATTAGAGCTCTTTTATATTAACATTACACACAACACATATATAGTTAAGCAGAAAGACAGAAGAAGATTACTACAGTAGTTGTAAGATTTTTCATTTGCCAGTTTTTAATTTTCTTAATTGGATTACTAGTTTTAGGGTGGAGCTCTTGGAAGAATAGGGCCAGGAAAGGGGTCTCTGGTGCCTCCTGTTTTTCCCAAGGGTCCTGGCTATTAGAGCTGAATATCTGCTTTTAATTAAACTGATTTTAACCGTAGAACCTTTTAATAAAGTCCTTTCAGTATTTCTTGTGCCAAACATCTATTTCTGGCTTTTGAACTTTACCAAAGGTAACCTCCCAGGTGCTTAGAGAAAGGAAAATTTAAGATACTCCATGGAGGAGAAAATAATCAACAAAGTTACACTAGATATGAAACCAGAAATGACTTAGTTCCTGGGTGAGGAGTCAGACTCAGAACACTATTAGTGAAAGTGCCATACCTTAGCTACTGAGCTACAGCCTACAGCATGCTTCAGCTTCTTTCCCAGAAGGAATGTAGAGTAGTTAATCTTAAGCTTGCAAAGGCTTTTAACTATTTAATATGATTTTTAGAGCTAACTATGACATGAACCCTAAAATTTCGGTTCCCTGAAGGCAGAGACCCAAAGAAAGTATGGCCACATGGTTAAAAGGTCAAGCTCCCAAGGGCATAAAACAATGTAGAGACCATTCAGTTTGTTTCAGGGGCCTGCAGCCAAGTTTGTTACTGACTAGCTTGCTGGGTCTTCTAGAAAAGCGGGCTTACAGGTGTTCTAAGCCCGTGTTTTATTCTGAAGTACCCCTAGACACAGAAAAGCAAATTCATAGCACAAAACACACCAGCCTAAGACCAGTCTTAGAATTCGTTTTTGTGTCAATCAAAACTTTACAGAGGAGATAAACACTGATACCTTTTTCCATTCATTCAACTGTTTGCACAGGGAGGGAGAAGCCAGAAATCTGACTGGTAAGAAATTCTTATCCTTTTGCCAGCATGCCGGACTTCTGGGTTCCCTTTCCCTTAGTGGTACTAGCGATCCAGCTTGTGGCACCATCACCCTGGGGGCCAAGTGGCATCATAAAGGAAAAAATTTTTTTTCATTCTAGCCAGAGCAAAATACGTGTGATAAAACATAGACATTAGTCACTCTGCTTAGCACACACTATCAAACAGGCAAGGCTTAAACTTGCCCCCAGATGGACCCCATCATCTTTAATCCAATCTCCGACTTGGAGTTTCAGCACTTGTTCTCTGGGCAAGATGGTCACCCTGAGGAACAGAAAAGATAAGAAAGGGGGCCAGGCTTGGTGGTTCACACATGTAGTCCCAGCACTTTCGGAGGCCAAGGTGGGTGGATCACGAGGTCAAGAGATCGAGACCATCCTGGCCAACATGGTGAAACCCCGTCTCTACTAAAAATTCCAAAAATTAACTGAGCATGGTGGTGCGTGCCTGTAGTCCCAGCTACTCGGGAGGCTGAGGCAGAAGAATCGCTTGAACCCGGAGGTGGAGGTTGCAGTGAGCCAAGATTGCACCACTGCACTCCAGCCCGGTGACAGAGCAAGACTGTCTCAAACAAACAAAAAAAGATAAGAAAGGGAAAAGGGAAAGTAGAGAAAGAAAATATTGCCTGTGGCAGGATGGGGAAGGCAAAATGATCAGCAAGGTCAGAGAAAGACCCACCCATTGCAGCAACACTGAAAAATTTCAGGTGGCTACTGTCGGTCCAGCAGGGATCTTTTTCCAGCAGTCCCATCAGCTCTCAAGTTTCCCCTTTTGGAGGAGGAAAAAGCTCTCCATGTCCCTCGATACTGTACATGCCTAACCCTGTTACCCTCAGCCATCAGCAAAGAGTGCAAGGCAGATTAATTCCAAAGAGAATAGCAGTTAACATCCCATAGTTCTGAACCTGTTCTTAGCTGAGAGGGACTTTACCGAGAGGGGCCTCTAACCCCCTAAATCTTAGAAGGGACTCTAACCCTCCCAAGTTGGGCCTCTAACCCCCTAAATCTTAGAAGGGACTCTAACCCTCCGAAGTTGGGCCTCTAACCCAATCCCATTCTTTACCCAAGTACCCCACCACTTACCCAAAGTCAGCCAGTCAGTGCTGCAGCCTATTTCCTTTGGGTTGGGGAGGTTTCCTGAGTATTGTCCCTCTTTTGGTTCATGAGAAAGATGTTACCAGATTCCACCACTTACCCAAAATCAGCCTTTGGATTGGGGGTTTCCACAGTATAGTCACTTCTGTAGTCACCAGAAAGATGTTTTAGGACCCCAAAACTTACCCAAAGGTAGCCATTGGGTCAGGGTTTCTTCACTATAGTCCCTTCTGTGGTCACCAGAAATATGTTAGAGGAAAGGGGTCTCGACCCCATGTTCTAATACAGGGTTCTCAGATCTTATGCAAGAAAGAATTCAGGGCTGGTTCACGGTGCAAAATGAAAGCAAGTTTGTTAAGAAAGTAAAGGAATAAAAGAATGGCAACTCCATAGACAGAGCAGCTACACTTGTCTGATTAGTGATTGTATTCATGTATGTATGTTTCTGCACTTGTCTGATTCAGCCTAAAAACTTTTTATTTTAGATCGGTTTATCGATTTCTACAAAAAGAGCACCTTTGAGATTTTAACTGGAATTGCTTTGAACCTATAGATCAATTTGGGAAAACTGTATCTTAGGCATATTGACTCTTTTGATTCATGAACAAGATATATCTCTTTATTTTATTTGGGTCTTAAATTTCCTCTCAGCCATCTTTTGTACTTTTCAATGTGTTATAGGTCTTGAACTTTTTTATTCAGATTTTTCCCTTAGTAGTTAATATTCTTTGATAGTATAATACATACTATTAAAAATGCCAATCCAAGTTTGTATTGCTGATGCAAAGAAATACGATTAAATTTTGTATATTGATTTTTAATCCTGCAACTCACTTATTGTTTCTAGTAATTTTTATAGATTTCATCAGATTTTCTACATAAAAGATTATGTTATCTATGCATCATATAGTTTTACTTCTTCCTTTTCAATCTGGATGCCTTTTATTTCATTTCTTTTCTCATTGCACTGATTACATCAACCAGGACAGTGCTGAAGAGAAGTGAGCAGGGCTGATATCCTGGCCCTTTTCCTTATCCTAGTGTGTGTGTATGAATTTCTCAATTATATACTCTTAGATGGAATAAAATATTATAATCCGATTGAAATCTCTGCTTCCATCTGATAGTTTACAAATAGTAACAAAAGTCTACAATTAAATTACTACTTCATTCACTTTTGAATAATAGATTGATAATATTAATACATACAAAATAAAGACAATTTAAGAAAGAGAAAATCATGTTTTCAGTACCAGTAATTAGAAGTTAGAATCAAGTACCTACACACACACACACACACACACACACACACACACAAGGATAAGAAAAAATATATTTATGTGTATGTGTGTGTCCGTGTATATCTATCTATATATACATATATATATATGTATATATATATGTATATATACACACAATTATATATATGTATATATATATACATATATATATATATAAAATTGTGTGAAAAATTGATTCACACATTTATGAAGGCTGAGTCCCACAGTCTGCCATTTACAAGCAAGCACGAGACCAGGGAAACCAGTGATGTACTTCAATCCATATCCGAAGGCCTGAGAACTAGGAAGGCAAATGGTGTAAATCCCAGTTTGAGAGCAGGAGCTGTGGACTGAACGTAAATATGTGCGTGAATACATGTACGTTTGTACATGTGTGTATATGCTATATGTATATCTAATATGGAGTTCTGATAGTGTCTATTTTATTTTATTGTGTTTCTTTATAATGCTATTCATTGCTCATTACATTAAAGATGCAAATTACATGTCATCAATGACTATGTGTTTTGTGGTAACCCTAGTGGCCATATCAAATATGTCCTTTTTGTCTAAAAATAATGCATCTTTAAAAGTTCACATTAAACTTCAGATAACAGTGTTTGTTTCTCACAAGGCAAGAGTTAGTTAATAAAAAGTAGGCCGGGCACAGTGGCTCATGCCTGTAATCCCAGCACTTTGGGAGGCCAAGGCGGGTGGATCACGAGGTCAAGAAATCGAGATCATCCTGGTCAACATGGTGAAACCCTGTCTCTTCCAAAAAAAAAAAAAAATACAAAAAATTATCTGCGCATGGTGGCGCATGCCAGTAATCCCAGCTACTCAGGAGGCTGAGGCAGGAGAATTTCCTGAACCCAGAAGGCGGAGGTTGCGGTGAGCCGAGATCGCGCCATTGCACTCCAGCCTGGGTAACAAGAGTGAAACTCCGTCTCAAAAAATAAAATAAAAAATAAAAAGTAGACCTCAGGAAAAAGGATCCACAGGTGCAGGTGCCCTGTTGTTCACTTGCCATCCTGTATATGACTGTCCTTGGGCTTGGGTGTAGTTAAATGTCATGTTTTTATGATCCCTCTTCCCTCTATGAGGGAAGTGTGAGAGTTGTATTGGGCATGATCGTTAATTTGAACTCAAGCCTCAAGGACCCTCATTTAAGATGTCAAAAAGTTTAGGAAGGAAGAGTAAAAGAGCTGTCCAAGCCCCTTTCAATACTCAAGAAACCTGCAGCTCCTAGTCAACAGAGGCAGGAAAACCTCAGCCTACAAGGTGCATCAGTGCGCATGTCCGTTGCTGGGCGTGTCCATTATTGCGCAAGTGCCTTGCTGTCTGCGGCGTTGCTGGGCATGTCCGTTATTGCGCATGTGCCTTGCTGTCGGCAGTCTGCGCTCAGAGCTGCTGCCTAGGAGGTGGTCCTCTGTCCTCTTCATTTTTTCTCGCGGACTGGAACTCAACTGGTAGGCCCTCAGATCAGTCCTCCAGGGAATTTAGTTGTGAGCGAAGGTGAGGGTGAGCCAGTGGGCTTGGGACAGGTCTTGTGGCACAGTCCGTGGCTTCTGAGGGAAAAGGGCTTTACAGTCATCGTCCGGCTCCTCCTAGGTCGCGATGCCACATGGGCCTTTGTCGTAGTGGCTGGGCTGGGATGAGGGAGGAAGGTAGGCCGAGGAGGGGAGGAATTACATGGAGATGGGACGAGTGCTGGGCGTACTGTTGGAGGTACCTGAGTTCCGAAAGTGCCTGGAACCCTCCAAGGGAGGACAGATTCCCCAGTTCTCAGATGGGACCTGGGCAGGGGCAGGGCAAGGTGGGTGGTAAGGAAGGGCCATGGGAACTAGGAACACTGTGGGCTGATGACTGCGGCCCCAATGTCTGTAGAGCACCCCACAGCAGTAGGGGCTTCGCAACTTCACACCTGCACCAGGACCTCTCAGGAAGGAATGGGCGAGGCTGTGCGTTCCAACAAAACTTGATTTTAGAGTGGAAATGGGCCGAGTAAATGAGAGTGTGACAAAAGCAGTAGTCAGTTCGGTTCCAGTTCTCCACCTATATTTTCCTAGATGTCTTCATGATGGAGAGTCTGAGTGTGAAACCAAAACTCACAAAGTCCTCTGTCTTGCCATGAGCCTTGCTGGCTAGCATAGCCATAATATGAATCACTTTGCGAGCAGCCATATTTGGTATGATCGGAAAGCATGCAAGCTCACAATTATCCTGGAACTTAATTTTAAGATATTTTCAAAATTTAAAAATTTTAGGTATCATCTAATTTAGCCATGGAAGTGGTCAGATGATACACTCTTATGTACATTTGCTGAATCACAGTATGTCACTTTCAGAGTGAAGTATGAGTGGACATCAAAGAGCAAGATCTACATCTAGAGAAAGAAGAGATGATCAAGAGTCTAACCATCCAGTAGGGGCTGTGGTTGTGAGTATTTTAGCATTTGATATTTTCTATTAGAAACTTATTTTTGTGAAAATGTTGTTGAACTTATATTGATATATTAATAAGGTCTTCCATGGTTATAAATGGTAATAATTGAATCTCATGACATAAACATAGATTTGGATGTTTGCATTCTAATGTTGCATAGATGGTTATGTTTTTATATTCCCCAGAAATATGCCCTATGGCTTCCTTCTCCTGCTTATTCATAACACAGTGTATGCATCCATTCCAGCATAGATTAAAATAGCTTCCCAAGTTTTTAAGGGAACTCTTTCCTTGTAGTAACTATTAAGAATAAGTATATGTAGAATTGTGTAAGAAAAAATGTTTTTAGACTTATTTGTGGTGAGATGTAGCTGTATATTGAGTATCTGCATATTATTGACATACATTAATAACAGAGCTTTTTATTTGCACACACATTCACATTCCTAGGCCCAGGATCTGCCCAGTGATGACCAACCTCAACAAGAGGAACCACCAACTGAAAATCGAGATTATGCACGTGGTCGAGAGAGAGATGAGGGACCACTGGAGTTCCAAGGTGAAGGGTGGGAGAGGAAGAATGTCTGTGAATGGAGGAGGTGTATGTGTGTATCATGTATTGTAATATGGAAGTAAAAGGAGGAAAAAAGCAATAGAAAGAGATCTCCAGCATTTCCTGAAAACTGGCTGGAAAAGTGAAGAAGGCATAGTTTGCAGCCAAGTGCAGTCCCTTGGTATAATGCATTCTACCTTCAAGACTTACTTGTTATGCTTGCCAGAGCCCTTCATTAGCAAACCCAGGGAAACTATGTTTAACTTGTCAGAATTTGCACTATTTCACTAGTTAAATTTGATCTTAGAATGTTGTGTATCCTTCTTAGTAATTACAACAAAAGTTTAAGCAACTTTTAATAGCATGAGGAGAGTGCAAAGGCATCATGTATATATGTTTTTTACATATATATGACATGATTTTATAGCTATGATACATGATTTTTACATATATATGTTTTTACATATATATGATATACATGCTTTTACATATAGTGACATATTGACATATGTTTTACATATATATGGCATATGTATGTTTTTACACATACATGACGTTTTACATATGACATATATGTTTTATGTATAACATGCTTTACATATGACATGTTTTGCATATACTGACATACATATGCCTTACATAGTATGACATATATGTTTTTACATGCTATGACATGTGTTTTTACATATGTATGTGTTTTACATGTGACATGTTTTACATATATGCTTTACATATAATGACATTTTACACATATAATGACATGTTTTTACATGTGTATGATACATATATGTTTTTTACATATATATGATATATATATCGTACCCATACCAATTCACACCTTGGATTAAACTAGCTTGCATAGAGATATATAATCTCTCTATATATGACATTTCATATATGACATTTCATATATAACACCTTGGATTAAACTAGCTTGCATAGAGATATAAATCCCATTTAATAAGTAAGAAAACTGAGACTCAGAGATTCTGCTTACCAAAGAGCACTTCACTGGTGGAGAAATAATTTGTATTTCATTCCAAAGTATGCATTCTTCTTACCATCTTGGTTGCTGTAAGAAAAAGCAGGTTTTAGGGATATAAATATTAATGAGAGAGATGATTTCAGCCTTGAGCTCACAATCTAGTTACACTAAAATGAATCACTAATTTAAAATTATAAGTACAAGAACATATACCTACAAAGGGGTCAACTAAGCTGTCTGGGGCACTTGTGGGAAAAGAAAAGGATGATAACATTTGGAAAACGTTTTCTTTTTCTGACGAGACTCCGAAATAATGTTGTTGAAATTCTTATGCATTGCATTTATTGCCACAATAGCCTATAGGCTTTTATTTCATAACATTGAGGGAGTGAATATTATCACTTTTATTTATATTTTACGTTTTACAACTTAAATTGGTAACCTTTTTTATTTTTAAGTGCTAGGACTGGCAGCCTATATCCGGGAACTGATTCGGTCGAAGACCGGGGGTGAACGTGGGGATGGACCTGATGTCGTGGGAGAATTTCTGCCAAATCTGGAGCCTGTGAAAATACCAGAAGCAGGTAAGTTATCCATTAAAAATGCAAATTACAGGGTTTCTGCTTTCAAAAGTACTATATATTTTCTAATACAGAGGTACCATTACTTCTAATATAATTTAACAGAGTTCATATATAAAGATTCTTTGAAAGATAGTTCAGTCTCCAAAAGCCTGACTTATAAGCTGGCAGAGATTCTACCACATTGGGTCAAAGCCACATTCCATTATAAAATGTGAAGATATTTTCTTACTTTTTAGTATACTTTCCTTAACCAACAGCTAATAATATCAGATACTTTTATGAAGATCTGCTTTTAAAAAGTATCTAATAAATTTGTAACAGATGTTCATTGTATGAAACACGTTGAGGCAATTAAGGAGGCTTTAGTCCAAGCTCTAACATAATTTAACTGACTTTGGGCAAATTCCTCATTTTCTATACCCACATTTGCTCTTATAAAAATAGGTCAAAATCAAATACAATAAAATTTGAGTAATCAAATTAAGTATGTTTTACACATGTTTTTTCAAAACTTCTAGGCATTAATTATATGAGCTTCTGAATTTAATGCAAAGACTTAGTGTTTAGGGAAGAAATTACCTTGCATTAGTCCACTGTTTTCGCTCTGCATTCCTAATCCATTCCATTAGAATGTTTAGATTCAAAATAGCTTTCAGGCTATGTTCAGGAACCTATTGAACATATACTCATAGTAAGATCATAGCCTTTAATAGCTATGATATTAAACAATTAAAATATAAAATTATATGAGCATTCAATATAAAAAATAAGAAAAAGGTACAAAATAAACATAAGGGAAAAGGAAAAATATACTTTTTTGTCTGTTTAATTTTAATTTTCTTTTTTTGTTTATTTTATTTTTTATTATACTTTAAGTTCTCGGGTACATGTGTAGATCGTGCAGGATTGTTACATAGGTATATACATGCCATGGTGCTTTGCTGCATCCATCCCCCCGTCATCTACATTAGGTATTTATCCTAATATTATCCCTCCCCAATCCCCCCACCCCCTGCTATACCTGCCCTAGCCCCCTCATCCCCCAATAGGCCCCAGTGTGTGATGTTCCCCTCCCTGTGTCCATGTGTTCTCATTGTTCAACACCCACTTATGAGTGAGAACATGCGGTGTTTGCTTTTCTGTTCTTGTGTCAATTTGCTGAGAATAATGGTTTCCAGCTTCATCCATGTCCCTGCAAATGACATGAACTCATCCTTTTTTATGGCTGCATAGTATTCCATGGTGTATATGTGCCAGATTTTCTTTATCCAGTCTATCATTGATGGGCATTTGGGTTGGCTCTAAGTCTTTGCTATTGTAAACAGTGTAAAAGACAGGTATAGTCATTAAGGGAAATAATTCAACTAGTAAATAAAAGAGATTTTCAGCATATCTATGAATAGATATGTTTGCCTAATCTTGTTTACATAATCTTGTAGAAAATGGCTTTCTTGTAGAAAACGGTTTTCTACAAGATTATGTAGTTTACAATATAGTCTCTAGTTTGCATAATCTTGAAGAAAATGGACAAAGCTCAAGTATACAAAATAAAAAATAGGAACAAGACAGGACAAATATTGAATGTGTAATACAATTACAAGTGGATACATTCTTGAACTCTGAACAATTTTCAAACTTTGATGCAATGTTTGATATGCTATTGAAACTTGATTATTTACTCTACCACAGCAGTGAGTATTTAAACATCATAATATGGATGAACTTTTAAAACTTGCCAGAATTTTCCATCAAGAGTGTTTATCATTTAGAAACAAACAAAAAAAGCTATTGTTTATTTGTTTTTAGCTTTTCCAGATTCGTCAGTCTCTTTCTGTCTCTCCTTCTCTCCCTCTCCTTCTGCTCCCCCTTTTGCCAAATTATGAGAATCATTACTATTTTTTTAACACTTTATCTATAATGATAATGGCTTGCAACCAGTGAGACAACATAATTTATTGTACAAACTGGAATATTTTTAAATGTGCAAAGAAGTGTTATTGATAATTATTCTAGAACCACAGGTGAAAACAGGGACAAATGGTTAAACTATTTTAAATCAACATATAAGGAGTAAATTAATCACAAACATTTTAGCATTTTGTCATAACAGAAACAAAACAAATGTAATACTAGTCTTTCTATTTATGCCACTTAATCACTTTCAAATGTGGCATTACTGTTTGAGCTATTCTATATTCAAAAAATTATTTCAAATTTCTTTTGTTTCCTGAGTTTTATGTTTGGTTGGTTGGATTTTTTTTTTTCTAAAATTCCATGCAGTTTTTAGTTTCCAGTTAAAACTTTCTTTAAATAGATTCATTTGATCAAATCATTTTGAACTCAAACTCTTTCTTATACACTAGAAAAATGAGTGGGATTTTAAAATATTGTTAATATACCTGAAAGTCTACCTTCTAAGTCTCTATAGAGGTTTAACTGGATATAAGCCAGAAGGTTACCTTGTTATAGTTCATTTTATAAAGCCAAAACTATGCCTTATTTTTTTACCCATAGTGTTATCAAAATAAGTTCTGCTAAGAAATACTCCCAACTGTTATGTTTATTTTATAGGTGAAGGGCAACCATCGTTTTAAATGAAGACAAGCTGAAACCATACATGCAGTCTTCATGTTGGAAACTTGATGATTCAAATTCTCTCAGTAAAGTTTCCAAATTGTCTGCAAAGAAGTCTTGTGCATCTTATTTTAAAATAGGAATAATTAGGTATTTCATACCATTGAAAATTGTATCTTTTTTGAAATTTTATATTCTGTTTGAGTTGGTATATAGAGATATACTTTTATGATTTTCTCTCCAGAAACCTTGCTAAATATGCTTATTAATTCCAAAAGTTTGTCTATAGGTACTTTTTGATTGTCAACATATACAATCATGCCATTTGTTAGTAATAATACTTTTCATTCCAGCTTTTAAAGTATTATACTCTTTATTTCTTTAATTCATTTTATGGCATTGGAAAGACCCATCCATTACAATGAGGAATTGAACTGGTGATAGTGGACATCCTCATCTTATTCCTGATAAGAAATGGAAAATATTCAACATTTTACCATGATTTACTGTAGATTTTATTTGTAGATATACTTTATCAGAAGTTCCTTCTATTTCTAGTTTCTGAGAGTATTCCTCTTGGATATATGTTGACTTTCCCCAAATAGTTGTACTTCATCCACTGTGATTATAATGAGATTTGTTCCTCTGTTAATTTATTACTGTGGTGAATACACTAAGTACATTTAACCAACCTTGCATTTGTAGGGTAAACACAATTGGTTCTTGAAATGTTACCCTTTTTCAATAATCTATGTCCTAATATTTAGTGTGTGTGTGTGTGTGTATATAATTTAATAAAATTATTAAATAAAAAATAAAATTTAGTATATATACTAAATAAAATATTAGTATATATATATATATATATATATATATATACACACAGAGAGAGAGAGAGTGAGATTAACTTACACTTTGATTTCATGTACTATTTTTGTTTGACTTTGGTATCAAGGTTATGCTAGCTTTTTAATATGAATTGGGATGTAACACTTCTTTTTCCAACCTCTGGAAATAAAATCTCTACAAATCGTGAGTTATGAAGGGCTAGGCTTTCCCTCATCTGTTTCTGTATGGCTTCTGCCTCTTACAGTTTTAAATTTTAGGACTTAAAAGGCAGTGACAGAAGGGGCAGCTCCAGGTTCCCATCCCTTCAAACCTTGTGAGGCACATCTTCTCTAAATGCTTTGATCCCTCTAATGATGCTGTCACTCTGAAAGCTACCTGCTCATGTTTTTATGCTGATGCTTTTCTCAAAGTATATGCTTCTGAAAGTGTTGTGTAAGGAACTAACACTGTACATGATGACTTTAGCCAGTAATAGGATACTTTCATAAAAATTTCATCAGCATATGAATATAAAATTGCTTGACTTAAAAGGCATTGTTCTTTCCTTGAAGGAAAGTTTCTCTTGTATTCCCTTCTGTTCTTTCTCAGAGTTAATTTAGAGGTTGAGAAGGATCAATGACAAATCTCTTTTTTCCTCTGCAAAATTCTTTATTGGCCTGATATTCACCATATCTCAGCAAGAAACCTGTAAAGCTACCTAATTCCAGTCTTGCACCCTTATTACTGTACACAGTGACAGCAGGTTGCATCTCTGAGCCCCCATTCATATCCATACACATTTAGAGTTATGCAAGACCCTACCCAAAATCCACCTTGCTTAGGGAAAGACACAGGATTATAAATAGCAACTATTTCTTCTACTTGCAAGTTTAAAATATTTTCTTGATCCAAAAAGATTAAAAATCTATGGTTAGAAAAATAAGAAAACTGCAGGGTGTTATCTCAATTTTCACAAAATGTGTGAGATTCCTAGATGGTGGCGCTAACTGCAAAGATCAGAAGCTAGGTAGAAATGAAAGGGGTACTTGTTGAGGCAAAATGTCTTGGGTCCTATCTACACTGCCTCTTTATAAGCTGTAGCGTGAAATAGCCATGGGTTTTTATTGTGGCTCTGGCACAAACTGGCTATGTGATAGTGAGAAAGATACTTACATCCTTTGGAACTGTTTTGCATTACTAAAATATAAATTACAATGTTTATACTACAGTATTACTATGATTAATAAGTGAGATAAAGCCAGGCATGGTGGCTCATCCCTGTAACCTCAGCACTTTGGAAAGCCAAGGATTGCTTCAGCCCAGGAGTTTGAGACTGACCTGGGCAACATAGCAAGACCTCATTTCTACTAAAAAAAATAACAATAATAAATAAATGAAATAACACATATGAAGTAGGCATTACAGTATAAATGGATTTGGTTCACTATAGTCCATTTTTAATTACTTTTTTATTTCATTTACTTTTATAATTATATCTCTAGTAAGAGATACTGATTTTGAATTTCAAGTAATTATATAACTGAATGAATCTGAGCTCAGAAATTAATTTGATTTAAGTAACAATTAAATTGCAGTGTAGTTGGTATCAGACGTGGCATTGTATCTAAAGTTGGTTTATAAATGACGGAGGCCTGGCAAAGGCCACCTTAGGTCATCCAATGTGCTGAAAACTGCTTCTTCTTGTATGTGATGGCAACGAAAATAAGTCAATATTGTGGTCATGCAACATCACACAACTCAATATCAGAGTCTATCTGTCAAGTGGTCAAGGAATCTCTAAGCAGCCCTGTGGTGACTGACTAAGGCCACAAGGATCACCACTGCAATTGTTAGGTTGGCTTGTCACATATTCATAGAGTCAGCTAGTAAGAAGACAATGAGTTCAAATAGATCTAAATAGTTTACTACTTATAGGCAGCACAAACAAGAGCAGCATTGTATCAGCTTTCTGTTTCTCTAGTCCCACAGTATGACATTGAATCAAAGGCGTTCGGTAACAGACAGTGCAGGTGCTGGGTCTCTCTGCCATCCATAACTATATTCTAAGTCAGTAAGCAATTTTATACCCACAATTGTACCCTAAGGTGGGGCAACAAGGAACATCTTGTGCTCAACTAGGGAGATGGATGAGTAATGACCTCGTGTCAGCCTCCAGGGAGACAGGAGGGAAATGAGAAAATTCCTTGTGGCAGGGTCACCAAGGCACCAAGACTGAGCCATTCCACTGGTGTCTGACATAAAACAAAAGACCGTATGTATAGCGCTTATGAACATAACATTTCCAATACTGGTTCCAAAATGGAGGGGATGCTTTCCCTGTCTGGGTCATTACAAAAAATTAATTCAATATACATGGCTTGATGCCTGCTATGTTCCAGGAAAATTCTGGAATGCTGGAAATGAAGAGACCAAAAAAATGTGGTGTTTGCCCATGGGGGGATATCACATTCTCTTGGGACAGGCATAAACAAACACAAAAGCAGTTGAAACATGAAGAATTAACAGAGGCAAGAGACCCAACCAAAAGTAAAAATAAAAATTTTTAAAGAGACTGGGGTGGCCTAAAAGCAGGAGAAAAGCACAAAAAGAAGACTCACTGTTAGAGTGAAATAGATACACTGGACTTCCTATATCCACTGATCACTGGGTTCATAGACTTGATTCTACTAATGTAAGACTGAATGACAATTATAAACTAAAATTTGCCTGATGGACAGTGTTGTTTTCATTTTAAAAAGTATTTCTTTTCATTTTAGCTACCAGCATAGGTGTGTAGTAGTAACATATTGCATTGATTTCCATTTCCGTAATAATTTATGACGCTGAGCATCTTTCTATGTGCCGATTAGATGGTGTCTGTTCAGTTCTTTAGCCCATTTTTAAACTGAGTTTTTTTCATTTCTTATTATTGAGATTTGAGAGTTCTTTATGTATTCTGGAAATGAGTACTTTATAAAAGATGTGTTTTGCAAATACTTTCTCCCCATATGCGATGTTTTGCAAATGTCTTCTCCCCGTATGTACCTTGTCTTTTCTTTAAAGAGCAGAAGATATTTTTAGTTTTGAAGTACAATGTACCAGTTTTTCTTTCATGGTTTTTTTAATCCAAGAAATCTTTGCTTCACTTAAGGCCAAAAATATCTTCTCCTATTTATTTTTTTCCCTAGAAATTTTCCAGTTTTAGGTGTTATGTTTAACTCTATGACACACACTAAGTTAACTATTGGGTGTGGAATAAGGCTTTTTTTTGTTTCTCCAGTTTGTATTTTTTGTTTTATTGTTTTTGCTTCTAGACTCCAGTTATCCCAACACTACTTGTTAAAAAGATTATCTTTCTCCATTGAATTGTTTTTTCACCTTTGTTGAAAGTCAGTTGATCATGTGTGTGAGTCTATTTCCGGACTCTATTCTGGTCCTTCTTTTTTTTGTTTTTTCATACCACACTATTTTGATTACTGTAGTTTTACACTAAGTCTTTAAGTAGCATGAGTTCAGAATCATTTTGGTTATTTTTGTTCTGTTGTTTTTCTTACCTTTATTTCTCAAATAAAAATTGTATATATTTTAGGTGTACAAGATGTTTTTATATATATAGTGAAAGGATTACTATAGTGAAGCAAATACCCACATCCATGTCCTCACATAGTTACCTTTTTGGGTTTTCTGGTGTCAGCAGAAATTTTCAATGTACATAACAGTATCCATGCTATACATTATAGCTCTAGGCTTATTCATCCCACATAACTACGACTTTATACCATTTGACCAACATCTCCATATTCCCCCCACTTCCCAGCCCAGGTAATCATTGTTCTACTCTGCTTCTGTGCATTCAAATTTTTGGGGTTACACATATGAGATGCAGTATTTTTCTTTCTGTGTCTGGCCTGTTTCACTTTGCATGATACTCTTTAGGTTTATCCATATTGTCACAAATAGAAGAGTAGCCTTCTTCTCTAAGTCTGAATAGTATTTCATTGTATGTGCATACCACAATTTCTTTATCCACTCAATGGACACTTCAGTTGTTTCCGTATCATGGATATTGTGAATAATGCTGCAATGTCCCTTCAAAGTACTGATTTCATTACCTTTGAGAATATACCCAGTAGCATCATATAATCTGGACCATATTTGCTAATTCAATATTTAATTTTTAAAGATCTTTTATATTATTTTCCATAATGGCTATACCAATTTACACTCCCAGTAACAGTGTACATGGGTTTGCTTTTCTCCACATCCTCCACAACACTTGTTAT